GAAAGAAGAAGAATATGAAGGAGGAGGAGGAGGATGAGGAGGGGGAGATGTGACTGACCTCACACGGCCTCCTGGACCCCTTTTTCAATATCCACTGCAGAAAATTTGTCTCACCCCAAGGACGGCCGACTACCATTTTGTTTGATAAAAATCTCCGACTTCCACGTTGATTCCCGGAAGGTATGGTAGTCTGCATTTCGTTACTGCCAAACTTAAGCATTAAAAGACTAACAGAGTAGTTTTTGAGGCTGATTTTTTATCAAACAAACAATTACCATAGTCCAGCTATAGTGGTCTACGGGACAGCAGCGATAACATAACTCAGATCGCATTTCAAACATTCTGAGTGGCCGTCCCAGTGCATAGCTAACTAGTGGAGTTGCCAGTGCGGCAAGACAAAGTGTGATTCATTCTGTGCAAAGGTTGTTTGCTCTGGTAGATCTGTTGGCCGTGGTAAGCGATTTTGACGACAAAGTGAAATGGACAGCCTTTACTGTGGAAACGTACAGCCGACTGGGTGCGAGCGAATTGTGGTTTTCTCGTTCGCGAGACTATACACTGGTCGCCAAATCACTGAGTGTCGGGTTCACTTCGCTATGACGTGAAGGTCACCTGGCCATAACCAAACAGAAAGACTGCATTCGCATGAGTGAATGATGTCGAATCTGTAGCGAGATTCATCACCAATTGCACTTGCGATCACCACGTGATGTATGACCGGGCAAAGACGTCGCGACTGTGTATGTGGTGGACTTTAAACCCAACCATCTGGAAGTCTGGCCGCCAACGCCGATTTAAACAAGGAAATATGATTCATACTGATGGAACATACCGCTTATTGTGCTAACTTTTATCATTTTTATCTAAGTTACCTGACAAAAGTCCAATTTTATCCAATTAAGTGACCAGGGACCGTTCACACAAACAGTCTTCCGTCCTGTTTTTACTCTGCGTTAAAGCGGAAATCACCCGTGTGGACCGTTAGGCTCCACCGTGGACTGCGTTTAGCCCAGTGGTTAGGGGGTGGGACCTCTAAACAACAGATCGTAGGATCGAGCCTCCAGGATAGCAGATCCCAATGAAAGCTGACAGTTCAACCGTCGTTGACGACGACGGCGTCCATGGTTTGCCCCACAGCAAGGTGAAAGCGGTCACAGTGACTTGCGTGTGTGCGTGTGACAAAAAACTGTCTCTCTGACCGGTCACAGAGACAAGGATGACACAAGTCACTGAACAAACATGCACACGATCTGTCTACCCACTCGGAGCAAATGCACATCCACTGGCAAGCAACCAGTTGTCGGGTACACCAGACTGCGAGATTCATGGTTTGGTAAATCATGGCATAGCA